GCTATATAGATTAACATAAATACTCATGTTGGCCATATTCTGATCTTTTCTTGTAGGTAAAAAAAATGGTGTCAACTGGGGCATAAAATCCTAACATTCAGCGTGCATTATTACTATAAATTTTGCATAAAAAGAAATGAAAAGTTTTTGTCACCGATCGTTCACTGAATATGAAAACTGACAATGAAGAGGAAGCAAAGAAAAGGATGACGAAATGTAAGCTAAATGCATTCGTTTCTGAAGCTGAGATAGAACTGGGCGTGCGGGTCAACTGATTATAAAGTCTCCAGGTTGCATGTGGACTACGTTGACCGGTTCTCGAAATCATTTCTAGCCATGTTTTCTTTTGGGTGCTCAAACGTGGCAGACAGGGGTACTTTAGTGCTGATTTCAGATTGTAAGGATGAGACAAGGAATGGGATACGCTCGCAAAATTTCTGCTTCCTGGCTTCGATGACCCCGAAGTTTAAAATGGGCAACAAATTTCACACACACACATACACGCATGCATAAACGCGCACACGCATATACAATATCATCAACCTCTTAATAATGTGAGTTCTGCGCCGCAGCAGCTACTTAAAAACTATACTGTCGAAATCCTGTGTGTGTTTGCAAGTATATGCCTTCGTGGGATTTCCAGCTCAAGAGCCAGGAAAGTCCGGGTGATGCTTTGCACCTGCATGTGGTACCGCAGATTCAACTAAGGTTTCACACATGTCTGATTTTCGTACGGACACGGGAAAATTTTGGCATAAAAACCACTAGGCTGGGAACCAGAAAGGATAGAAACTTGAGATTCTAGGAAGATGTTCCATGACCAAGTGCCATCATACTGACTCAGTTTCACTCTTCATGCACGCCTGGAACCATGCACAGAAACACATGAAAGTTTCGGCGCGGAAATCTCGCAAGATGCGCAAGCAGCATGAAAAGTAATTATCGTCTGTTGCTGATATCATTAAAACAAAGACAGGCAAAGAACAGAAATCAAAGCTAAGTTTGAAAAATTTTTGGCTCTGATGTCCCAGGTATTTAAAAAACAATGTAA